ACCGGAACTTACACACACACACCGGAACTTGGCGCGCCCCACCTGTCACGTCTCAATTCCCCACCAGTGGGTCGCGCCACACACTTTGAGAACCGCGGCTTTAGTGTGACGCCATCACACTCGGTTAGTGTTGATGATGCCACCAGTGCAACAGAAATTAAGAAAGTAAACAATGGAGAGCAACAAGTAAGGAAGCCTGGGTGTAGTCAGTGTGCCTTGTTGTTTCTCTCTATTATCTGTCTGAATCCCTCTCACCAGAGCTGCTCCATGTTTATTAAAGGAAAAAGAGTTGTTTAGCTCAGACGCAAATGCCGCAGTGTGTTGATGTCCGTACTTTGCATTCAATTCTGTCACATAATTTAAAGGGTCAACCAGGCTCTGGGTTTCCCACCCTGTGCCGAGGTGATTTTAATGCGGGTTGCTTGCTGGGCGTTCGACCCGGGTACACACGGATCAGTGAGCTGTTCCCACTACCACTAAAAGCCGATTGTTTTCAGGTTTAAACGGGTTTCTCAGCCAGTTGGAAGGGGGTACATGTCTCACAGCTGGTCTTGGAACACCTCGGCAGTCGGCTCTCCATCAGAGGAGCTGAAGGGCTGGGAGTCTCTCCTAAGGCTGCCGACCTCTCAACTGAATCCGGATTTAAACTGTTGCTGTTTTTTTTTTTTCCTCTTCATCAGATCTGTGTTTGATTATTCCACTTTATTCAAAAACTCTAAGAAAAAACTGTTGATTCTACAAAATGTTTTGGTTAAAATAGGAACATTTCGCCGCTCTTCTGTTATTTTATCTACACAAAAACAGTGCCTGTTTTATCTGAAAACGTTCTTTGATAAACGAGTGAGGTGTCTCAACTGGCATTGTGTCGTTGACTCTGCAGCAATCCCTCACATCGGGCATGCATGCAGAGAAAGTGGAGATAACAAAAACTCCCTTTTAACAGGAAGAAACCTCTAGTAGAACCAGGCTTTGTTTGAACAGCCTTCTGCAGGCTCGAGAAGACTGAAGCAGACGTACAAGAAGAGGCATTGATGGTTGCTACCTATGGAGCTAGTTTACCCTCCATAGATGGCTCGATCTAGGAAAGCAGTAGCTCAGCAAATGAGCTCTGAGTCGGTTTTCATGTTAAAAAGGATAAGACAGTCCTTAAACTTATACCTCTTTCCCACTGGCCGAAAAAAAAAACTTTTTAACCCGGAAACAATCGGCTTTTAGTGGCAGTACGAACAGCTCCCTGACGTGTGTCTAACCGGGTCAAACGACTCTGCGAGTGACCCGCATCAAAATTGCCTCGGCTCTGATCGGCATGTTGTGAGAACACCAGAGCCCAGTTGACCCACCGCATTACGTGACACCATTAAGCGCAAAGTACGGATCTAAACACAGCAGGCACACCAGTCTGCCTGATCTAAAGACCAAAACAAATCTGTTTACATTTAATAAACATGAATCAGCTCTGGTGAAAGGGATTCAGACAGATGAAAGACCTAATCAACAATGCTTATTGTCATGCCATATCTAGAAGGAACTATAGCAAAGTGGACAGACAGTTTTGCTTTGCTAGCTAAAACCCTTCAGATCAGAGAGGAAGTTGTGGGAAGAGAGACTAGGCTTTCAGTGACATTTGAAATCGATTTATTCTTTCAACAGTCACTGAAAAGGAAGGCTTACCACTTGGTCTCTGTTTCTCAGCTTTATTCTGGTGGAGAGATTGTGGGGCAGTTCTATGGAGCTCCAGCTGACCGCCCTCTCACTGCAACGGCAGCAAAGGCAGGTCTGTGGTCCTGTGTGGGAGTCTCATCTGGCTTTTTTGGGGTACTTGTCTCTTTAGTCTTGTCCAAGGAGGGTTCAGATAGACCTTCTGTTGGGTCATTGGTCACATTCATAGTTTTGGCCTTCTAGCAGTCATTTAGACCTGACAGATGCATCTATTTTACCTCAGAGTGAGGTCCCTAAGTACAGACACACCCATGCTCAGTAAAAGGGCGTAAGCCACTGAACGATTCTGTGGTTGTGGTTAAGCCAACATAGAGAAGTCCTTGACGGGAGCTTGTTTATTAATAGGCTAGACCAGTAACGGCTGATGGTGGAAGTCTTCTACAGTCGTATAAGTCATTAAGCAGTACTCCTCCTGCATCTGGAGCTACAGGCCAGGGACATCTCAGCTTTGATGCAGCGTGTTTGCATCAAAGCTGAGCATTTCTGCTCCGCTTGCTTGTCTGGAGTGTTGATCTTATCGTCATCTTCTAGGGTGACGGTGTCATGGTAGGGGTTTGTCCTTTGCATCCGAACATGTGCATGACCAGGTGATTCACTGAATGCAGGGTAAGGTGCTTTGATGTCCTCTGGAATTGATTAAACATTGGATTGCAGCCCCTTTTCCATCTTCCTCTATGTCCTTAGATGCAAGGAGGTCTTTTTTTGCATCATCTGTTTCCTCAAAGCATCATCCATGCCCCTCTATGTAGCCGTTGACAAAAACAAAGAACAACAACCTGCACGCAGTAACACCTGATTGTTATGAAATGGAGGCGAGCACCATTAAAAATGGAAAGGGACAGCATTACTTGCTCTTTTGTTTTCTATGTTGACAGAAAACCAATATCTGGAGTATCTAAACTTTATGAATTTTGTCTTTGAAGATTCTCAATCAAAATGTAGGTCTGTTATTTTTGCAGCAGACAGTGTTTGTTTCAAAAACATCAAAACTACCTCTGTAAATAAAGAATCTACTTTGGGTAACTATTCATTTAGAGTTGTAGTGACACCTGCTGGTTATTGTATTATTATACTCTAACAATATAATGTGAGGTTCTACATAGGGCAGAAACAATTAATTGTGATTAATCGATTATTGAAATAATAGTTAACTAATTTAGTAATGGATTAATCGTTAAATGTATTACAGAGACTCTAAAACATGCCTTTAGCTGACAGAGCAACCAACTTAGAACAGTAATTATATGGAAAAAAAAATTAAATATATAAACATTTTGCATTTGAGATCTGTCAATCTGCTCTATCCAGAACTCCTCAAGAGGAAGTTTTACCTAGTCTAATTTTGTTTTTAAAAAAAACCTTTGGCTATCTGATTATTAATTGATTAATTGAAAAAATAATCAACAGGTTACTTGATTTAAAGAATAGTAATTAGTTGCAGCCCTTTCTACAACATAACCAGATCTACTTGCTCAACAGGGTCAAAAGGGGCTAAAACGTCAAACTTGAGCAGAAATATCTGATCAATTAATGTTTTTATTTTCTGATTAAGTTAAACTGAAGTTTTTAATGTTTTGTTTTAGGTATCGAGCTCAAGCATCTCTGTCTGGAGTACATGACCCCCTGGCTTCTGAACCTGGTTCGATTCTGTAAACATAATGACGATGCCAAACGCCAGCGTGTCACAGCCATCCTGGACAAACTCATCACCATGACGATCAATGAGAAGCAGATGTATCCCTCCATCCAGGCTAAAATCTGGGGCAGCCTAGGCCAAGTGAGTCTTCAGCTCCCAGAAATGAAAAACCTTTTCTGGACTGAACCAAGGAGCCGTCTGTCTGTAACTCGTCTTTCTTGCCTGCAGATAACAGATCTGCTTGACGTGGTTCTGGACAGCTTTATAAAGACCAGCGCCACAGGAGGCCTCGGCTCCATCAAGGCCGAGGTCATGGCCGATACCGCTGTCGCTCTGGCTTCAGGGAACGTCAAGCTGGTGTCCAATAAGGTAAGAACCCCCCACGCCTCTCTTGTAAGGCAACAGCTATAGTTTCCTGTGTGCTGTCATCCCTCTGGAGCGTTTTCAGCCTTTTGCGTCTTCTAATATAAACTGCTGAAACCACAAAAAAAACACATCAGATCTCTGACTTCATTAGCAAATCGAATTATTCAAACCACAGATGTCTTAAGCCAAGTCCCAGAGGAAGTGAAATTGAAAAACTGATGCAGCAATGCTCCTCGGTAGCTCATATGGACCCAACCTGCTGGTTTGCAGGCAGATAGTGTTGGTCTAAGAAACGTGAAGGCCAGTCCATGGATTCGGTTTCTTCATCCTGCAGGAATCGGCTGCATATTCTTCCAACATGAAGCCAGCGTGGTGCAGGTCCTCACACCAACACTAACCCATCACCTAAACCATCAGTGACCACCTCAGCCTCTCCATATGGAGTGGATGAGGTCTATTCCCCCTGTGGCTCACTACTACCCAGACGCTATTCCTCACATTTTAAATTGAGAAATCGTCCTGGGTGGGAAGCGAAACGTCTTCAAACTTGGAAACAAAGTCCAGTGGATTGTTTTTTTTGGACAACTATGACCTGGATGACTGAGAATCTTTATCAACATGCTTGATTATAGAGGTTTACAAATCTGACAGAGGCTGTAATCAAAGCCCTACGGTGAGATTCTAGTGTTTAAACAGACATTAAGAGAAGGAAGTTGGTTTTATTTTATTAGTAGCCTGTAATAGCTTCCAGTGCAGAACCTGTAGGATCTGGAAACACTGGAAATCTTTGGAAGACTGATTAACTTTCAGCAAACTAGCTCATGACTTTCTGATAAAAAGAAGGCTTATTAAATTTCTCTTTATTGTCACATTGAGTCCAGTTTAAGCCTGGTCTAAGTTCCTGCTCTGTTGCCCGAATCATGAAACTTTGAACCCAGGAGACATTTGCCATCTTCAGCCATCCATTTAATACTCTTTTCTTTAATAGACCCTTCTTAAGATCC